TTATCCTTTCTTATCAATTGATAAGATTGCCTGTCACCCGTCAACAATGTCGCTATCACTAAAACTCTATAATTTGGTAGTGTAAAGGCTCCAACACTTTGACTGAACAACAACGGCAACGTTCCTTATCAGCCCCTATCAGCTGTTATCTTCCTCGTCACCCGCCGTCGCCGTCCCCACCTCCCTCTTCATATCATTTGCTCATTTTTTTCTGAAATCAACGCCTAGCTGATGCTGTGTCCCACGTTATGGATATGGCGACTTTCCCATAACTCCCCTTATCATATCTTATCAGCTGCTAGCAGTTCTTGTCACCCACCAATGATATTCCTGCGCATTTGCTTACATCATTTTAAGTTGGCGGGAAAGTTCTGTCATATATTTTTGAACCCAAAATATTTGCTAATTACCTGAAGAGCGTTAACCGGTAATGTGAGCACTTATACATCGAATGGTCTTTCTATTGGTATCACTGGCTTGACTCCTGCTTCTCCTTATTGTGCAATATGAACAAGAATGTTATCCGCTACCTTTGGCACGACCCCTCCAAGCGCTTCCTCAAACTCTTTCTTCTACCGCCCTGGCGCCAGCATGACAGCTGTTGATGCCGAAATAATGGAGCTGCATAAGGACGATGTCTACGATTATTAGACAACCTTCCACGACGCTAAAGCTTCAGAGCCGCAGCCTACAGTTTGAATGACGAAGTGAGGTTTGGGTATACCTGTGAACTTAGCCTGAGGGAGCTGTGGGTCGGTAAACTGCTGGACGAAGAAGCTGCGTCCTTGGTCGATCCGTATGCAAAGCAGCTACGAGAGCTGAGGCGAATCGTCGATCAGAGGGAAAAATTCGTCCGCACAGTCCGTCTTCAACGTGATGGTGCAGCCCCCTCTGTCCAAAAAAGTTCGAGCCGAACCTTGCAAAAGAGCTGGATGGCTCCCCCTGCACCCCAGACATTGCTCATTCTAACTGCTAGTTACCTCTCGGACATAACCGTTATATGGCCGAGAAAACCTCCACGACTCGAGCCCAAGTCAACATTGAGATGATGTCCAACATTGCGTCGTGCCAGCCTCCATTGTGAAGCGATGGCATCCACGAAGTGCTCGAAAACTGGCAGAGATTCCGCAATGACATTGCTGTATAATTTTGATCTTGTACGCCTCTCTATAAAAAGAAAGCCTAGTTTGAAAAAATGTGACAGAACTTTCCCGCCAACCTAATACCTTAGAACAAACGTCCCATTGTTGCTGTGTCCTGCACTATGGGCTCGGTGACCCTCACCTTCTGACGCCTCTTATCAGATCTTATCAGCTGATATCACTCCCTGTCACCCACCAATAATGTTCCCGTCACAGCCCCTATATAACTCCTTGGAATCAATTTCCCACAGCTACTGGGAAGGTCGCTATGAATTTCGTGACACACACGCACACACTTAGCGGATTATACAGGGGAGCCATAATAAAAAAAGTCGCTTTACTTCCTTGACCTTCAAAGCGCTATAAGTTACACTTCATTAAATTCTGATCGGACATTTCCACCACCATCTTGAAGAGCATATTAAATACTATCATGACACTCCGCCACAGCCTTCTGGACGAGCGCCATCGAGAGATTCTGGCACGCGACGATGTGGTGCCTGAGATCAGCGAGATAGTCGATTTCTCCGCCACCGTAGACCACCCTATTGAACTCCGCCCGAACGGGTAATTGAGGGGATTCAGGTCAGGTGACCTACTTGGATATTCCATCTTCTTTAGGTACTCAACGCCCTTCCATTCCAAGTAGGCAAAGTTTTTACGCCCTTCCGATTCCATGTGGTGGCACCCAATGCTGTAGCAGTACAAAGTTTCCAAGAAGGTACGGGCGACGACATGTGGGGAGGATATTCTTCTCGAGTTGCTCGATGTAACCGCCAGCGCTCACCTTCAGTCCGGGGTCCACGAAGAAAATATTCGGTCTTTCCATTCCAGGTACGTCCGGTCCATACCATCAACCCGCGCCTTGGCGACTGCGGTGAAGATGATGTCCTAGACCGTAGCGACGTTGTCGGAGCTGCTCGATGTTGGAGGTCTTCCAGATCGAGAGTACTGGTCTCCAGGTAGCTATCCATGGGTGACTCCATACTAGAAGTTTCGCAGCTGTTTGGAGGTGACATGAATTCCAAAGGTCTTCTCCAGTCAGGCTGCGACTGGAGATGACTTCATATTTTGGTGTACATGAAGGTGATGGGCGAGAGCCAGCTCCTGCTTATAGAGGAACATCTTGGGTATCTTCCGCCCTGGTACTCGTATCCACGTCCTCTGTCTGGGCTGCGAAAACTTTGCTGATATGTGACTCGGTCGAAGTGACTTTTTTATTGCCCCGCCCCCTGTATATAGTAGGATGAGCCATCACTGGCTATTACATACCAGTCGGATCGCCCGGCTGACGCCGAGCTCTCCTCCTTCTCTTTAGCTCGGCTTCGCCGAGCTGGCCTGGCTTCGCCAGGCGCGCTCCATAATGGAAACGGAACTCTTTCAATGGGCTGCTCATACGGCGCTGTAGTGGTCGAATCATAACAGATAGAGCAACCCTGCGGATCCTGCACTCCTTAGCAAACGCTTATACTTGCGGTCCGCGCCATAACGCCCATACAATACATAGACCTATAGATATAGATACAAAGTGCAGTCGATCAATACAGCAGTATAACTAACAAGCAGGGCTTCGCCGGCTTCTGAGATACAGCACGGCTTCGTCGAGCAAGCGCGGCGGAGCCGCGCTTACCTTCTTCCACCCATTTCATTAGCCGCCTAGTATCAGGCTTTTCTTTTCCTGAAAAGGTGGTCAACATTCTTTGACCAATAGCATCATACCTGCTACTTTCAACACTATTACGGTGTATGGAGTGGTGGTAAGGAGCGTTGATCAAGTGGACAAATGACAGAAAAGCGAGTATTAGTCGAGCATTTAATCATACGAATGCAGGTAGGCGCGATGGAGCCACGCCCCGCAAAGCTGGGCCGTATCACATAGAGGTCTGGAGTGCTTGAAGTGCTCTGGAACCACAACGTATGCCTCGCGCTTTTCAACTAATAACCCCTCGCTGATTTTAAACTACTTTTTCCCGGTGTCTGGAGTGCTTTGGAACCATTTTGCGAATTCTTTCCGAATTTGGCTCCGCCCACCTCGGTGCAGGCTCCGCCCACAACGGGAGTGCCTCGCACATTCTTACATTTGATCACTTGGGGACCATAATCCACTTTTTGGCACCATCTGCAGTGATTTAGGACCAAACTACGACTTTTTATACTGTTCCTCGTGCTCAAATGCACGCCCCGCTTACTGTGGGCGGGCCTCTGCAAACATGGTGGACCCTTGCAAGATATTCTTCTTCGTCATGGACTTTTCTGCGCTCCCTAAACATTTTCGGGGACCGAGTTACCGACCTTTGTGGGAAGCGCCGCCCATCTCAAGTACGCCCGCCCATTTCGGGTGTGTCTCCTCTGTTTGGTCAGTCAGGCCTTTGTTAACTTTACTGCACTGTTTCCTCATCTCGGGACTGCTCTGGAACCGAGTTATGACTTTTTTCAGTGACATCGCTAACTTTTGCCCCGCCCACTGTGGGCGGGGCTTACCATGGGTCATGGTGCTATTTAGGTTTTGTCCCATGCTCTATCCATCCCCACCATGACCCGACCTCTCCAAGCTCTTCTTCAGGTGCTATGAATTTCGTGACAGACAGACAGACGCACGCACACACACACGGACATAGCCGATTATATTAGTCGGATTGTGGGTCTTTCTTATTCGTTCCCATCAGTGATTTAAAGTTCGAAAGGAAAAAATTTTCCAAAATTTTCCTGTTTCAGGCGTACTACATACCCCCGCCCTTCCCCGCCGCTCGTCGATATCGACATTATACATATATAGTAGGATAGTGGGATGAGTTCATTTTCTAGTGCTATCAGAGAAGTGATGGCTAAAGGAAAAGTTAGCCCACTGAGCCTTCAATACTTAGCAGTGTAGTGGTCATAGATGTCGTGAGAATGTCCCCTTATCCTTTCTTATCAATTGATAAGATTGCCTGTCACCCGTCAACAGTGTCGCTATCACTAAAACTCTATAATTTGGTAGTGTAAAGGCTCCAGCACTTTGACTGAACAACAACGGCAACGTTCCTTATCAGCCCCTATCAGTTGTTATCTTCTCGTCACCCGCCGTCGCCGTCCCCACCTCCCGCTCTTCATATCATTTGCTGAAATCAACGCCTAGCTGATGCTGTGTCCCGCGTTATGGATGTGGTGACCTTCCTATTCTAACTGCGCTTATCAAATCTTATCAGCTGCTAGCTGATCTTGTCACCCACTAATAATATTTCTTTGTCATAGCCCATATCATAGCTTAGAACAAACGTCCCAGTGTTGCTGTGGCCTGCGCTATGGACTCGGTGACCCTCCTCTTCCTACGCCTCTTGTCAGATCTTATCAGCTGATATCAGTCCCTGTCACTCATCAATAATGTTCCCGTCACAGCCTCTATATCGTACCTTAGAACAAACGTCCCACTGTTGCTGTGTCCCGCGCTATGGACTCGGTGGCCCTCCCCTCCCGACGCCTCTTATCAGATCTTATCAGATGTTATCACTCTCTGTCACTCATCAATAATGTTCCCGTCACAGCCCCTATACTACTGCTTGGAATCAACTTCCTACAGTGACTGGGACGGTCGCTATGCATTTCGTGACAGACACACACACACACACACACACACACACACACACACACACACACACACACACACACACACACACACACACACACACACACACACACACACACACACACACACACCTACGGGATACCTAACGGATTATCTATAGTAGGATTGTTGTCATTATGTCGGTCCATCGACTTCAAAAGCAACGATTCGCTTCTGAGCGGACCATTCTCTAACGGCTTCGTTTTTAGATCATATTACTAATTGATCGTTCTCTTGGCTGTGCTTTGAGAGAGATGAAACTTCATCCAGAGCGATTTCATGGAGAGATTGATGAGAACATGAGGAGATTCATAAAGAGCGGTAGGAAGGTTGGTGTTTCTATCACTTTGGACTTGGACACCTAACTATAAACCTGAAGAAATTCACATCTCAGGTAAAGCCAGTTCTGGTAGAAGCGATGATGATGTTCCCCGAAAATATACCAGAAAGTTGGGGAGGAAATTGCTACAGCAAGAATGTCACGGCAAGGTTAGCAGAGAAGAAAACGGACCGACGAATTGACGATTCCGCAAAAGCTGCTAAGGTCATTGTGCGATTAGAAAGACCTGCAGTTGTTCAGTCACAAGAAAGCACTAAGCCAGAGGAGCAGGGAAGGCCAAAAGAAGCCCAGACAAAGGGAAAAAGTGCGGAGAAGGAGCCTCGTTTGACACCTCTCATGAAAACACCATCTCCATCACCTGAAAAAGCTGAGGTTAAAGAAACGAAAACGATTGAAAAAGGTCAAGACAAGGTTGGAAAAGTTGTCCCAAAAGTAGTAGTGAATCAAGTACACCAACAGAAGTTGACGGAAAGCAAGAGTAATGAAAAGGCTATTGGGCGGAAGGATGACGGAGTAGGAGAGGGTAGCAAGACAGATAAGGAAAGCCAAAAGGTTAGTGAGAAAGTTAATTCATTCACTTCAACACTTCTGTAAAGAGAACTCGTAACTATGGATTGGGAGAAATTCAATGAGGCTTCCGGAAAACGCTTCTCTTACGTTGGCGGTCAAACTGCTTTTTTCTGAGATAAAATGCAAGAAAATATCCACTTCGCACGGGAATACTCCAAGCTGCTCGTCTTGAAAGAACGGAAAATTAAGTTGTTTTGTTGTCAGGATATGGAAGTGAAGAAAACACTGTCAGAAGACGACAACAGTGAAGATGACGAAGAAAAGCCAAGTGGCGTGGTAAGACATAGGTTGCTGTTAGCACAGGATGAGTAGGAGGCTGTCCCATCCAGTCTTATGCAAGTATACTACATAAAGCAATCTGCTGTCATCCACTCTAAAGCACCTTCCGTCTTTTTCAGCGAGCAACTAGCTTTATCCGCGACGGTAGAGGTTGCGCACCTTGGCGGCGTAAAAGCAGTGGCGAGGGTGCCTATGCCGTCGTTACTCTCATTGGCCCGGCCCACTCCCATTGGCCCCGCCTACCGCTCTAGCCAGCCACAGTAATAGAAGGGCAGCCAAGGGACGTATTCCCGGGATCAGCTGCGGCGACCATATCGACCACAGCACCACTTCACGGTGATTTCGTCAGTTCACTCTCTGCCATACAAGGGCTCGCTCACCAGGGGTTCAGATTGAGCCACTGACATCACATGTTTTTCTCTTTTTCTTCACTACTGTCTTCTTGGCATCCCTACAAGGAGGAGGGGCAAAAAAAGACACTTCGGTCGAGTCACATATCAGCAAAGTTTTCGCAGCCCAGACAGAGGACGTGGATACGAGTACCAGGGCGGAAGATACCCAAGATGTTCCTCGATAAGCAGGAGCTGGCTCTCGCCCATCACCTTCATGTACACCAAAATATGAAGTCATCTCCAGTCGCAGCCTGAGAAGGCCTGTGGAATTCACTCCTATGTTCTCGTCCGAGAGCCCAGTGGCTCAGTCGAAACTCTTGTGTGACTGGGAGTCAGCCACGCCGATTGACGGAGTTTCTTACGTTTGCTTTATCTCTCGTTGTTGGTGATCCTGCTGTTCCTTGTCATTTCTATTGGTTTATGAGCACCTTAAACATTTGTTTCTTTTTTTTTTGTCTCTTTATTTGTGGTTTTTTTTGATAATTGCTTGTTTTTTTCGTGTTGGGTGCGGTTTTTACTTTGTGTTGCTTTCCGTTTCAATGTGATTGAGGTGCCTCCTCCGTCTTCCGTGACATGGAGTTGGTACGCGTTGATTCCCTCTTTATGATGTTGTGTGATGTTCTGTGGTGTCGGCAGGTATGAAGGACGTGCTTGTTAAATGACGCGCATTCGCTAAGGGGTTTTGTTTATGTATTGGTATGGACTCATAGAGCCCGGTGAAATGATCGAAGACCGTGGTGAAATATTGGTGGATCAAGACGGACCTGCCCTGCTGGGCTGAAAGGTAGACGGCTGCCTTTTACTAGCTTATACCTAATGAATAGAAGGATATCTCTGTTTCGCTTTTGAGGTTTTTTGTGCGTGTGAGAGTGAGTGAGAGCGTGGCGTGCCGTACGAGGATTGAGGGTGCATTAACACTGGATGGAGTGAGGGAGTTACGATAGAATAAACTTATCAGCCTGCTTGGAATGGCAGGCGCTGAGAACTTGGAGAAGACGAATTCCGGGATTATTCTTGGATTTGGGTCGGTTTGGGTAGCATCAAAATGTGGTTCTACATTGGCGTAAGCAAAATGCATCGACCATGCGCGCTGTGAAGCCAGGCAGGTGGGATGTCGCGTCAGAATGGCACGGGCTGTGTCGCTGTAGTGCGAAGAGATCGTCTGGGGGGTATGTACGTCGTCCTCAGAAGTCTGCGGTCGAAATGTACGTGATAGCTGTTACTAAGTGCCGTTTGTAATTTTAAGGTTGGGTGAAAATGTATAATCGATGATATAGATAGAGAATCATCGGAATTTTGCAAGAGATAAGATAAGTCGTTTATTTTTTTTTGTGGTCTTGCCACTCCTACTAATATTGTGAGCCCCCTACCCAGAATATATCGCAGGCTCTGCTTTCAAATTCCTCTAATTGTAAGTTCACCGAGGATATGAATTCGCAAGTATAGTTGTTCGATGAATCACAATAATTTAGAGCAGCGATACATCCGCCTCGAAGAAAGCGAACAATTAGGAAACGGAGATGTTAAAAGTAGTTCAAGAACGACTTCTAATACTTGGATTCAGTGCAAGCTTTCACTCATTTTTTTAAATAAAGTTTGCACTGCATTGCCTCCTGTTTTCACTCGAAGGAGCTCACACTTCCAAAGATAGCCACCACTTTCAAACTCCGATTTCATAAACACCACCATATGTGCCTCACTAAGCTTTCTGTTGGTGTACATGGGGTTGGCGAGATATTGCTGGATTTCCTTGGAGGCACAGATCTTCTGAGATGGGTGAAGATGATGGGGGGAATGCATGGAAGCAGAAAGCGAGAACAACTCATAAACTCGTACGAAGCTCATGTCCCCAAATAGAAAATGCGCATTGCAGCAGTAGAAGGAAGTTAGCTCAAGCAAATGAGGAGAGAATGCAGGGCTGGTTGTAGAGCTTGCACTTCCAAGTCAACGAAGTAGGCATTGCATGCGGCTCGATGTGTACAGCATTCACATCAAGACCCAAGCCATTCGAAGCAGCAGCACATCGACTTTGGTAGTGTTCAGACTTGTTGCGCTTCAATTGTCGCGCTTCAATTGCCCCGCTGCAATTATCGCGCTTCAGTTATCGCGCTTCAAGTGTCGCGCTGTAATTGTCGCGCTACCATTGCAGCGCTACTATTGTACCAGACCCCAGCGTCCCTCTATGTTCTTTCTTTCGGTATTCAATCCCTTATTCTTTGTTAAGGTCAGTTTTACTCAGTTTGACCTGATTCTTAGCTCCTTTTTTCACTCTAACATTGAATGTTAGTGTATTAAGGATACTGTAATAATGATTTTGTATGCCGTTTCAAAAACTCAAAACGTCGTCAAAAACGTCAAAAACTTCATCAAAATTCAATGTCAAAGTGAAAAAGAGGAGCTAAGAATCAGGTAGAAATGAGAAACAGTGAAAAAGGGGTTGAATACCGGAAGAAAGAACATAAAGGGAAGCTGGGGTCTGGTACAATTGCAGCGCGACAACTGAAGTGCGTCAAGTCTAAACGCTGCCTTTCTAGGCCCCTGTCGAGTAGAAAAGCTCTTTCTGTGCTGTGTCTGCCCAGCCAACTAGCTTGAGAAGACTCTGCTAGGGCGCGCGATGACGCGACTGGGAAGCAACGCTCTACACCTATTGATAGTGGGTCACAAAAGGGATATCAACTAATAATGGTTGATAAGGGAGTGGAATCAGTGAATAGTTCAGTACACTAAATGCGCCATGCCTTTGGTGTAACAGGTCGAGCGTTGGAACGATATGTCCCCATGTAATCTTGAGAAGAGGGTCCCAGTTGGGCGATCCATACTGCGGTAACGCTAGGGAAGCTGCGTTGCAAGTATTTGCATTAGGACCTTATTGCTACAGTGTGTCGGGTCGAGCAGCTAGGGAGCACCGGCAAATTCGCACTCTCGGAAGTCGGTTTGGTTGCGCTCTTCAGATAAGAAGTGATGGAAGAGATCGCGCCGAATCTCGTGAAACACAATGGGTTCGCTAGGCACTCCGGTCAGAGATCTTCGGAGCTTTCAAAATATTATATGCCCGTTCCATGGCCTTATGGAGAAGCCGGCATCATATCGCCATTGCTCTCCTTTCAAGGGAATATTTTGCACTTACCATCCATATGAGCAGATGGTGACTCAGTTGCCAGCAGTTTGAAATATTAGGTTGTCCGGAAAGTTCTCAGCGTTTTGTGCACCTATTTTTTGTACATTCACTGCTGATTAAAAACTCATTCTGCCTTGCTTGATAAACCCCTTTTTCAAGATTTTTTCAAGCATGTGAAAAGAGCACTTCGGACGATTTTTTTCTTCGACTATAAATTGGGGCAATCCGCAATCGAAACAGCTCAACAAATTAACCAGGTGTGGGGGCCCAATAGTGCTAGAGAAAGCACTGTGCGGCAATGGCTCAACAAATTTCGTTCTGGAGATTTCAGCCTTGAAGATGAACCTCATAGCGGTCGACCTAAAGCAATATCTGACGAGGATTTTAGGGGGATTTTGGAGGCTGACCCATCCCAAACAGTTCGAGAGATAGCAGAAGAGCTAGGCCTTGGCAAATCCACTGTTGCAGATGGTCTGGAACGCATTGGGAAGGTGAAAAAACTCGACAATTGGGTGCCCCACAATCGGAGTGACCGGCAGGAATCGGCACGTCTCGAGGTTCCTTCTGCATTGCTTTTGCGCAGCAGAAACGACCTGTTTTTGAACCGAATTGTCACCTGTGATGAAAAATGGGTCATGTATGATAACAGGAGACGTTCCGGACAGTGGTTGGTTTTCGACGAACTTTTTTTTAAAAACTGTCAATTTTTAAAAAACCCTCTAGACAAAAAAAGATTCTCGTGGTCACGGCTTGGTGGTCATCGGCTGGTGTGATCCACTATAACTTTTTACCACCAGGCCAAACCATCACAGCAGAGCCTTACTGTGAAGAAATCGACCGAATTGTACCGAAAATTTTGTCAGTAAGGCAGCCCAACTACTTATCAAAAAGAAAGGGTCGCAGATTTCTTCTGCATGCAAAACTCGCCCGCCCACACGTTTCACAAATCACTATCCATAAATTGAACGAATTGGGGTTGAAGTTCTACCTCAACCGCCATATTCTTCAGACCTTTCGCCAATCGACTATCACCTTTTCTAACATTTTCAGAACTCCCTTGCTGGAAAATACTTCATCAATCAGGACCAGGCAAAAAAGCCTTCGTGGATTTCGTGAACTCTCGACCACCCAGTTTTTTTTCTTTTGATGGGTTTTCTCGACTGCTATTCACATCCGGAAAAGCGTGCCTGGTTTCGAAATGGTGCCTATTTCCGATTGAAGTCCGGATAGACTATTGAATAAAGTTATCGATCGTTTAAAAGTGAAAACACTCAACCCAAAACGCTGAAGAACTTTCCCGAAAACCCTAATACTTCCTGTGACTAGTCTGGGGGAATGTGAGACTTTCAAATACTCGCACACAAATAGCCTATTATTCCTTAGCTAATTGACTCGGTAAACAGCAACACCCTCAAACTAAATCAATTAGGTCCCGGTGCAAATGCAGCGCACGCGAAACCGCCTGAAAGTCGCTTTTGTCGCATTGCCGCAAAGTGGATGTTACGCCCCCTGCATCCGTTTTTGTGCTATAAAGAAGGAAACCAGCTATAAATACACATTTTCTGAGGTAAATTTATTGTTGTATTATGTATCACTTACAATTATATTTACATATATATTACTCATTGGTTATACGCGAATGCTTTTTAAGTGAAGTTGTAATATGTAGACAATTTTTGTTTCCATAGATGTTTGCTTTTCTATTCACTCGCCAGTTTGAACTTTCTTCACGACAGCTTCTTTTCTGTCATGAACAGTAGTTATCTTAGTTCAACCTCTATCGGATTGAACAACCTGAGCTTTAATCCGCAGGATCACGGAAATTGAGAATGATAGTATAATGCAATAAGAGGTAAATCCAGCATACAAGGAAGAAGGTTCCTGAAATGCGTTCGAGATTTATATTTCTATAGAGATTACAAGGTAGCCGGTCTCTGTAGGAAAAAAGAACATGAGTACGAGGCGCCTGTTCGGCTTGGGGGCAACTTTCGTTCTTTTTACTTCTTCCTTTAGGCACTTCATTAGAATAACAAGGTCTTTGCCCAAACGAAGTTGACAATGTATTTGTAATTATTCATCAAGAGCTGGGAGTCGTACAAGTGGCCCAAATTGCTTACAGAACTTACAGTTGTTCCCAGAAGTGCGACCTCATTAAGGTAATTTGCTGGACGACATTTTGATGCCCCCACAAGGCCTGGCGAAACTTGCCGGCCGAATTTCGTGAAACATACCATATTTGGTGATAGCTTGACTAAGTGACAGGAAGGTCAGAGAAATAATAAGATTGAATGTCCAATTGCATGCGGTTGTTATTGATACGCATGTACTTCGGGCCCATAGCGGATAGAATTCGGCGTTCACTACCCACGGTAACGGGCCATAACCTGAAATGAGAAGCTTACGGTAAAATTCTCTCAAGATCGCTAAAAATTCACTGATTCTGCTTTTTGAAGTGCTGAAAGCTTCGAAGAAGAAGTGCAGTGATCGCAAGAATGTTGACAATGAATTATGTCAAAAATCTTGGTCCAGGGGATCCAGAAAGTGTGATATGCTGACGAATTCTTTCGCCAAGCTATTGACTTTTATGCGAATTTTTTATTGTCCCGTAGCGAACCTATACTCAGAGGTGAAGAACAACTAGAAGTGAGAGGGCGGAGACGCGTTGCGCACTTGGCTAAGGTTAGACATGTGGCTGGTCATGCAGCAGCGGAGGCGAAGTCCATAAAAGGCACCCGAGTACCATTGCCCACCCCCCCATTCCCATGCCCATTCACGTGCTTTTTTTGGGCGTAGAAGGTGGCACACTATTGCAACTGTAGATCCATTCACCTCGCACATGATGAGGACCGGCACCCCGCAGCTGAATGTACAGTTTATCTTTTGGGCAGCTTGTTAAGTGTACTTTTGATTTGCCGCGCAAAAGCTGATGTTTGGGTGAGGGCTTCAAACCCTTGGGCTAAACCTAGCACCCGCGGGATGAGGCGCCTTCACGCAGTGCTACAACATTGTTATGAGATGCCAACTGGCATACATATTCGGAGCCACGGCTACAGTGTGCACGAGGGCATGTTGCAGGTTCGGGATCAACAGCTAGGGGGGGGGCATTTGGTCGCTGGAGGAAGGGAGCCCGTATCGCCTTTGAGAACAATGCTTCCCGTTGCCGACTTTTCTCGGCTTCCTCTGTTTCGAGTGCGCTACAGAGATTCTTCTCGCTCATCCCTTCACCCCGCTTGATGGGAAGTTCTGGGAAAACGCGGGGAGAATGGTTGAAAATCTTGAGAATTTAGAGTGACAGAAGGGGATGGTACCAGAGAAGGAGATTTCGACGGGTTAGGTCGTATTTTGCGAAAAATTACTTCAGCAGCAGGGTGTGCCCTGGTGTGCACAGAAGGAATTGCTCCATTAGGTTACAACACTTCAAGTATAACTTACCACTTGAAAATGATAACAGATAGAAAACCATAATCACTATGGGAAGCACAGTATATTTGGTTTGACACGTGTTTGCATCCCATTCAAACGTCGATCCTAGAGCATTTACTTATTATTAATCTGAAAAGCGAAGTGGTAAGGTGGTTAGTGCAGCTCACCCATAGATGCTGCGGACTGACAGGGACCCATGACTGAAGCTCCGGAATCTTCGTTTTTCTCGAGGCAGTAGCCTAGAATGGATAAGTTTCAGGGAATATAATAAGAAATTAAGAAAAAATGAAACAAAAGAAAAAAGAAGGGGAAAGAAAGAGGAAGAGGAGTGATGCACCTGTCCTCATTCCTTTGACCAAACAGAAGCCACAATGTTCGTTGGTCACGCAATAGTCGCAGTTGCTAGAATATTTGCTTATTTAAAAAATAAAAAAACAGCACTCCTAGAAGGATGACAAAAACCGAAATCCCAAAATTTTGCATAAGCCAATTTGCTTTTGAAATGCGCGGACATTCATAATCCTCCAGGATGTCCTGATATTTGGCCTACAGACGATTTCAAGGCAAGTGGGGCAATAAATCTCCTAGACGTGTAGGATTAATAAGCCTAAAAGGACAGGTCCTAGCAGGATTCTGACGGCCCTGAGCAGGCAGGCGCTACATGGCGCAAGGCACGCTTATAGAGCCCTATGAAGCTTAACATACCGACCCAGAAGCCCACATCGCCCGTCCGCCCCAATTTCCGAGCGATTCTGACGCTCGTATCGCTTCATTTGCGAAGCTCTAAATAAGGTATTGGTACTGCTGTATCGCATGATATGAAGCGGCTGCGGATAGATGAGTGCATACATATCTACCGGAGCGTTTATTGGAACGATGTCAACGGGAAACTCGTCCGGAATTGCTTTCTAAGTAATTTACAAAAAAGGCTTTTTTTGCAGATTTTCGGCTGGTTCACTTCGCTTTTTCGTTCTTCCACAATACAGCTTGCCTGCAACCATTTTAGACGTAAGAAATTATCGTGCCACATGCCCTGAACCAGTTGGGCACGTTAGGCCTTTATAATCACAGGTGAGCGAATAAATAGCTCTGGGATCTCAGGCATGATTGATTTTGTAGTCGCTCGGCTCGGAATCTTGTTCCCTTATCATGAGCGGGGTAGAGACACCTTTTATACAGTCATAATCATTGCAGAAGAGAGGGCTTGTGCGAAATGTGGATCGGAGCGCGACTAGGACCGCCTTCACCACCAAATTCGATGAGTCCTGAATCAGCGAAAATCGGTGAAAAACGTGAAAAAGCAACGTTTCTTTTCGCCATCAACACGCCCTCTCATTTGCGGGGATGACAACAAAACTAAATTGCAGACCGCTCTTCCCTAAACATATGTCAGAGTATTCTGCGAAGATGGTCACGTGCAGACCGGTGCAAATGAGGTCATTTGGGGTGGCATTTAAAGCAAGCAGGGTGACTCCTTGAGGGGCTTAATCGCACGAGATTCACATCGAAACGCCTCACCCACAACACCAGAAACTGAGTTCTTGCTCACCTGTACGATTCACAGCGTTGCTCAATACGATCTGGATGCGACATGTTCGTGAACGATTGATCACGAAGTGCCGGAGCCGAGTCCTTAAAATGGTTTTCTTCAGAAGCAGTCAGTAAGAGTTATTTTTCCGATGTAAAAAATGGGTAATTAGCGCAGTGTTTCGGTTCCTAGAGCTACTTACTAATTACAAATACTAGTAGCGATCTTCTCCAGCGACTAATCTGGATGGAGACCTCAACGACACTCAGCTCTCTTACGCTCCAAACCGCACCCTTTCAAATGAGAAAAAAGGCATACTTCCACCAGGGCACATCCTGTGTTAGGGAAAAATATTCAAAAAACACGACCCTCCTCGAGGTTTTCCTCCTCTGGTACGACCCTCCCCCTCTCCCTCCCTCCATCTTACCTACCATCTTTCTATTCTTCAAAGTTTTTCCCATTCCAATCCCGTTTCCGGAGTCTTTTTTTCTGGGACTTTTTCAGTTTCTCTCCAGCCCCGTTGAGTGACGTGGTATGAGGGAGTGTGCCACTCGTGAAACGGGAAAAACCGAGAAAAGTCAACAACCAAAAAATTGTAGGTACGACCCTCTCGCGACCAAATGCGATCCTCCTCGTTAGGGATGGCCAACACGTACGACGTGTACTACTTCTATAGCCAGTTGCGGACCCACTCACCTCCCACAAGGCAACGATCCACCTCGCAGGTGAGCGTGCTTGTCTTCGATGCAACTTTCATTACTTCTCTCTGAGTAACCAATTCAACCGTAAATCAAATAAATCGTTCAGAGTGTTCACTTACTTTGTTAATAAGAATAAATGCACCGCCCATTGCAAGAAGTGAAAGAATTACACAGATCATGGAGATCATAAAAAGGATGCGACGTCCCATACGTTCAATTAATGCTATCGGAATGAACGTTCCGAAAGCATTGACCGCTGAAAGAAATTTCTTCAGAAATTTATGCTGTGGATTTTGCAGGGAGGAGCTTGAATCGAGCTGAGCTGCACCCCATATCTCCGATATGGGAAGGGCGTGGCTGCGGCTTTCATGAGAACGGGCTGCGGCGCTTTTTTGATCAAATAATGGAGTTCTGGTACGGTTGCACTCAAGTCTTTGTCCAGCACAAGAGAGGGTGGCTGTTGTCCTGTGGAAATATCGAAAAAGGCATCCTACGCCACGTCCACATGGAGTTCTCAGCCACGCCTTTTCTTCTGCCGAGATATAGAGTACAGTTCCTTGCCTTCGACTGGACTAAACATTTCTCTTTTATCAAATTTTCTACATGGGCAATGAATTTTCATTTTAGATGATTTTTCTCCTAGCATTTTCAGGTTGACCTTTAGGATTTAGGAGACCATAAAAATAAATAGCTTGGAGCGCGTGATGTCAAAATCAGATAGTATTCGCCTTCGGCTGAGTGTTGCCATATGCTCAAATATGGAACAACCCCGTGAAATTTGATTGTTGAACGAAATTCGTAAAAATCATCACCTGCAGTGCCGACAGAAATCCATATTGTAGCATGCTTGTCGGTGACACCAGCCGATTGAATAATGTTTGTTGTATAGTACCTAAAAATGAAGGCTATTTCCTCGAGA